CCTTTCTCCCCTCCTCTTCGTTCAATCACCTCTTTGCTCACACCTTTCCATCCTGCTTCCTTTCCTTTTCTCTCTTACGCTTAGTTTTCCTCCTCCTCTACTCTCCCCTCCTCTCAAATTTTAACTTCTCCATTCCTTGCCCCCCTTACCTCCTCCTCCTCTCATTGTCTTTCCCGCTCCCTCCCTCCATGCTTCCCCTGCTCCTCTTCTCTCTGCTCACCTTTACCTTTCCTCCCTCCGACTCTCCTCTGTTTGTATGACACGTCTCTCTCTGTGTCTCACAGTCGCATGAATCATGACACACACACGCTCTTCTAATCACATAAAGGGCTCTATAATTGGGGAATTGGAGGCTGTTGATTTGATCAAAGCCAAAGACTTCTCCGCGTCCCTCCAACATGTCAACACACTGGGCGAACGAGTCAAGGAGAGACAGAGGGAGAGAGAGCGACGCGTGGTCACTCGCTTCATCTTTCTCCTTTTTGCACTCTTTCCCCTTCTGTCCTTACTGCCAAAGAAATCTAATTAAGTGGAATATAAATTGTAAATTGGTTTCCCTGAAAGCACACACACACACACACACACACACACACACACACACCTCAACGCCCTAGTCGTCACCTCCAGATCCGACCGGATGTTCAACAATTAGCGATCACTGGAGCTCAAAGGCATGGATCAGGAGCACAGCTGCACCCTGCACCCAGCACACACACACACACACACACACACACACACACACACACACACTAGCAAGATGAAAAAGACAGCCTTGGGTAACACATGCCTTTGCTTTGTGCAACATAAAAGCTGTTGCAAATCCAAAGAAAGAGGCGTTTTTAAAGGGTTAGTTCAACCAAATGACCAAAAGGAAGTCCTCTTGTCAAAATGACGAAATAGAGTTTGTCAATTCTTTTCCAAAACGACCCAAATGAGTATTTTCGGACAGCCACTTCGAAATTTAAGATCGACTGGAAGTGTTTGATTTGGACTCTATTTTCTTTGCCCAGAGCCAGGCCAGCTGTTTCCAGTCTTTATGCCCAGCAGAGCTCACTGGCTGCTGGCTTTGGTTTCATATTTACGAGAATGGTATTAATCTCCTCATCTTACTCTCTGCAAGAGAGCACATATCTCAAAATGTTAACCACTGTCAAACTTCAATTAATAGCCTTTATAGGGCTTCTGTTCACTTAAATCAATGAAATCAACAGGCCTGTATTTGGGACAGGTCTTTAATTTAAAGCTTCAGATTATATATCAATTATGAGTCATTCATTTGATCCAGCTCTGACAGACAAAGCATCAGAGTTACAGCACTTTATCCTGTTATAGCAATCCTCACAACTTGGATGACTTTTTCTGAAAAACCATTTTGATTCTTTTGATCTGAGGACACTTACAGACTAAAGAAATATGAATAACTTACAGGGCAATCGAGGAATGGACACATAATTTGAAGTAGCAAACAAAAAAGAGCTGCTTAGCAACCAGACCAGGCGTGTAATTGAGACAAGCATCAAAATGCGTAGCCTCACTGAGCTACTAAAAGGGACTTGAAGTTTTATACTATTCCATTAAAGGTCTAGTTATGTTCAGGCAACTAAAACCACTTGGTTAAAGGTCCAGTTTGTAGGGTTTAGGGATGTATACTGGCAGAAATGGAATATAACATGAGAAGTATGTTTATAATCACCTGAAAAATAAGAATCACTGCATTTTTGTTACTTTAGAATGAGCCATTGATATCTACACAGGGAGCAGGTCCACCATGTTTCTACAGTAGCCCAGACTGACCAAACACTGGCTCCAGATCGGACCATTCACGTTTTCAGGTCGGCCGCAGTAGTTAGCAGCCTCTCTGGGACGAGCAGCTTCAGAAAAACACTTTTTTAAAAAATGCAAAATCGCTTTATTCAGTGTTTGACCAGTATTAGTCACCAGGTCTGTTTGTTTTGAAGAGAAGGAGACCTCTGTGGATAATTCAGCTCCTGCTAAAAATTTCAAAGATTTCAGAGATTCCGCTAAATCCCCCTAAATCTCACACACTGGACCTTTAAGTTTACTGCCTTCATAGTCAAAGAAAATCACAGACTGTTGGTGGGAGATGGTACACAAGTTTTTCTTACAGTGTGGCAGTCGAATACTTAAAAAGTCTCAAAAAACTAATAAAAGGATATTATTATTTTAAACTAGTGATATCAAGTCATGAAGATGCAGCTTCAGATTTATTTCCTGAGCTTTGGACATATCAGCACAGTAAAACTTTTGCCCCCAATTCAGCTTCACTTCAGTGAGGGAGACGGTGATGATGATGATGAGAGCAACATGATCTGAAAATTGAGCTGTTTGGCCGGGCAGACGCACGCACACACACACACACACACGTCCTGTATGAGGATGGCTGACAGGGCGATTAGAACTTCTACAAGATGTCAGTGAGACTGACAGACAGACAGACTCGGAGTGAGATCATTTTCTTCATCACTGGCTCTCAGTCTATTATCATTATAGCTGAATGAGCTCCTTCATTTTTTTTTTCTAAAAACAAAACCCAGCAGCTGGAATTGGAAAAGGGAGAAAGATTATTAGAACCTGGTCGCTCTGTGAACATGAGAGTGTGTGAGTGTGTGTGTTTGAGTATGTGTGAGAGACACAGACAGTGTGTGTGCGTGTGTGTGTGTGTGACGATGGATAGATCTGATGTACCAATATCGCCCCCCAACGGCACAGGAGCAAACAACAGCCAGCGAAACATCCCTGAGCTCTCTGTCCCTCTCAGTTTATCTGGAACACACACACACACACACACACACACACACACACACAGATACATACACGCGCTGCACAAACACACGCGCACACACTCCCCTATTAAATAACTGGTAACAACTAATGGTAAAGTGGATGCCAGGATGACACTACACATCCCAGCAGCACCCAGGTCTGACTTGTAAAAGATTATAAAGTGGGAATAAAAGTCTAAAACACACATCATCTCCAGGTTTAACCCGACCACATCCTCACGAGCCAAATGAGCAGCTGAGGCTCTGTTGCAATATTTACTATGAACCCACACACAGGAGCGGCTCTGGTTCATTCCTTATGTGGTTTTAAAACAGAGTTATCTCAGTTGGTGTCAATGCGCCGGGTTCAAAACACAAATCGTGTGTTTCAGGGTTCGATCCCGATATCCACGCACACATTTGGCCAAGTTCATACTTTTTATTTCACCATAAAGCGCACTGTAGCGGTTTCCTCCGCTGCACCATTACGCACGGAGAGTGGGGACGGCTGCTCCGCCGCGCTGCAGCCCGGAGCCGGAGCCAGAGACAGAGGGAGGGAGAGAGGGGAGGACTCAGTGTTTGGAGCCAGTCTTCCGCTCAAAGTGGGCTCTTTCTGCTGCCTTACAGGTCATGAATACCAAGCAGAAGGTGCCGAGAGAGGGGCAGACACAGAGCCGACAGGCTGCTGCCGCTGCAGGCGACGGCAAACATGACTGATTTAAAGAAAGGGAACTTGTGAAAATTGGGTCCCGCTGCAGGACACAATCACACCTCAGATGTGACGAGGTCTCATCTTTTATCACAGTCTTTAAAAACGGTTTCAACTCGTGGATCATGCGACACATCAGATTATAATCAGCCAGAGTTATAATGACACAACGCTTTATTTCTGGCTTTACAGTATTTATTTCACAATCATTAGCCCGCATGTTTCAACTCCTCAATAACCGCACTTAGGTTCCATCTCCAAATTATCTTCAATTTCATTTTGAGACATTTGTGTTTAATCAACGACTGAAGCCTTCTGGGTATGTGGGAGCAAACTTTATATCCACGCTGCTGCCTGGCTCGTTACGTCTGTCTGTCAAGCTCCAGTTTCTGGTGATTGATAATCGGAATCATCGCAGATTTGATCTAAAGCCGGGAAACTCTGCGAAGCCGCAAACTCTCCAAACCTCTGCGGCGCGTAACAAGTGCCAGAGGAGTGCTGGCTGCTGAGTGCCGTGCAGCGATGTTGCAGCGGACTGTGTGAGGACCCCGAAGCTACAACTCCGGGAGATGAAACTGGGCAGGTGCATATTTGCCTGAAATGATACAGCATCGGGTGCAGGTGCAGTTTGGAGGAGAGGCAAATTAAAACGCGGGGTGTGTATCACATGTCAGTGTGGAAAAGTTGAATAAAAGCTTTTTAGGCTCTGGAAGGGAACGGATTTCTGTGAGTAACTTGCACACGTTATCCCACGACACCGCGGTAGAATGACGCTCGTGCGTGTTTACTATCAGACAAGACAAAATATTAATCACATCACAGGGTAAATAAATCAGGGGACGCCTTAACAGACAGTCCGCAGCTTAGCGCTCAGACGGAGCCAAGACGCACCGGTCCGCCCGCCTCCAAACACCCAGCGAGATCACAGCGAAATGTACCCGACATAAAACCGTCACATCCAAGTCACTTATTGACCCTCAACAACACACAGTCCACGCGTAAAAGCTTCATGGAGTAAAACATATAGGAGCGTTAAAAACTTCACACCAAACCTCCAGAGCGCGTTTCAGCTCTGTGAGGCAGACACAGATATGATGGTACAAATTCAGGCCAGCTGTCGCCTCAAAGTGTCAATGTCATCTGCGACATAAATCATCAATCACTCACTTGTTTATTTCCATAAAACACTGACTTGTGGTATTTTCACATCAAGATATTTCCTGCGCGCAAACACACAATAAATTCTCCTCCACAGCTGAGAATGTGCTCAAAACTGAGTTCAGGGTTCTTTTACCGTCACAGTGTCAAACAATATAACACATGCATTTAAACTGAGCTCCCGAAACGCACAAATCAACGTGCATGTCCACTTTATATTTCCATATGCGCCACCTCAGCGCCGTGGCATTTATTTAGACTCCAAAGAGAGCAGCAAAACGCACCAAAACATAGAAAATATCAGCAAGACAGTTTAAAAATCCAGCCTGTAATCAAACAAATCGCTTTACCTGGAAAGAATTGTCCGGCAGTAAATCCCAAAAGTACAAAGTAGAAGAAAGCTGCAGGCAAAACGAGAGAATAACTCCGTTTATCCATTTCTTCTCCTTCTTTTTCTTCTTGTTTTGTTCAGTGGTGCGGGTTATTTAACATACTCCCGTCTGGTCCTTAGACTGGGCTTCCGTAGTTGGGGACAGCTGGGGTGATAACAGTGAGAACAGGAATAAAATCCTCGCATTGGTGGATAAGAAGAGTCAGAAAGACACAAGTACAAGCAAAGAGAGAAGTTGGAGGCGAATAAGTAGCTGTCTCCTTTCCTTTCCTCTCCTCTCCTCCCGGGTCCGACAGAGCGAGTCTGTGCGTGTGCGTCAGAGCGCGCGTGTGTGTGTGCCGGAGAGTGTGTGACAGGGGGGTACAGTGTGTGTGTGTGCGCGCGCTCAGACGGTCTCTGACAGACTGACGTCTAGTTGGAGAGGAATGGAGAGCAGTGCGCACCACGCCGGGTGCCAGACACCCGCGTAAAGACGGGCGGATTGACGCGTGTGGGACTTCCGATCGTGAGTTTCAAAATAAAATCATGTAGCAGCAGAAGAGTAATGTAAGTCTCACAGAAGAAATAAGCCATAAAGCACCATGAAGATAAATACGATTTATATAAAGTGAAGGAAAATATGTGTGATGATGTTACTGGCTGTCAAATTGGACAAATGAAGGATGTTTATTCACAATGTAAAGAAGATATTAAATAACATATAATGCGTTTTCCAGGAAACAAAAGTCAACTTGATACTTCAAACAGACTTAAAGTACTCTAAGTAATTTGTCATAATATAAATTGTGGAAAGTTGAAACTTAAAATAGAGACTTGACAGTGAGGACATCAGTGACTGCAGCATGGAGCTGTGAGACAAAGCGCATGAAATTAAACAGTAATTGTTGCATTTTTACATAATTTATTTTGCAGCTTAACATCTTTTCCACGTTTACTTTAAGCCTACATACACACACCTTCCTGCTCTTTTCTAAACTGACCAGTTTCAGGCTTTTATTTGAAGGACCAGGCGCCAAATTTCCCATCACGTCTTCACTGTTTCGCGCGAACTTGACGCTGGTGAAGGATTTTGGAGTTGTCTGGTTTCCCCCGGGTCCTACCGCCTGATCCCTCCGCTAGGATAGGATTCACACGGTCTCTCCTCCTCTCTGTCTCAGCCTCTCTCTCTGCGTGTCTCTTCCCCTCTGTGTTGTCATGTGATCCCTCTCAGTCCACTCATTTTACTGTCATAGGATTTCTATTTCAAGGTCTGTCTCTCTAATAGGATTCCTCTCTAGCACTCTCCCACACACACACACACACACACTCACACACACACTGACTCAAAGGTGTGTCTTACAGTAGTGACTGGGCTTTCCCTGTCATGTGATTTGGACGTTAGAATAAGGGTCCAACTTTGCAGTGTTGCAGACTTTAACTGCACTGTGAACCTGTGTTTGCCAACTCATTTGTTCTGTCTTGAAGGGAGGAAACACCTGCCTGAGGAAGATGCATCCTAAACTTTCTCTTGTTTTGACTTATTATGATCACAGAAGTTGAGAAATACAAAAAGGTGAGGCAGCCTTTGTTAAAGCTGGTTGTTTGAGCTTAGCATGATGTGTGTGATGTGTCTTAGCATGACGAGTAAGGCTGCAACATATTCTCATTCCGATCTCATCACATATCGACGTTTGGTCATGGACTTTCCACGTCCAGATAGGACTTGGAAGGTACCCTGGCTGTGTTGGTTGTTGATGTTCTGGGACGCTGTGTCAACTTCAGCCTGTTACATGCATTGTCTTCTTTCAAAATACACTTCTGTTTTCACAGGAAATGTACAGTTTACATACAGTCTCTCTCGGAACCCATCGGCTGTATTCGGCGTATGACTTCCGGCAGACGGTGATACAGCCTCTGGGGGCAGACCCCCGATTTTTTGGCATTCTGGTTTGATTTGGGTGGACGAGGCGAATTTCCGTTTCCGACTTCCGTTTATATATAAGTAAATATGCTGAACCATTGCGATGGATTCAGAGTTTGCAGTAACACCAATTATGTTCCGCCTCATTAGTTCACCACATGGAGCGTTTAACCTGGCAACAACTGCAGCCGGCTCAAACGTGATTGGTCAATATCACGCGGGCTACAAACAGCCTACAACCGGAAACCAGGGCTCTTCCGCTCTTCTTCCGGAGGCAAGATCTCCGGGGTTTGACTCTACATTCACTGAATGTAGAGTCTGTATATAGAGACTACTTTCAAAGTAAACGCACTACGTAGGTACAACGATGCCAAATGACGTTTTTTCTTTCTCCAACAACAAACGCACGTGGTCAGGTTTAGGAAAGAAGAAGTTTGGCTTTATCATCTTACAGGATGCGAACACTGCTCTCCTGGGGGAAAGTTGGTGTTTGATGGGTCTTGTAAGCTGTCCAGATGGAAATCCAAAAAGTCATGGAATCAAAGAAAGCATTTATTAGTGAGTGGACAGATTTGTCTGGTTTGACTGCCAGCGCTGCCAAGTTAAAGTACCAAACAATCATAAATGTGCCCTGCAGAGTCGCCACCTTGTGGTAAAACATGGATAAATGCTCATTTAGACTATTAGCACAGGCTGATTATGACTTAATAGGTTGTTTTACATTCATTAAAAGCCTCAAATATGTTGTGGGTTCACACAGATGTTTTTTGTTTACTATATTTGGTTGAAAATGGCCCTTTTGATAATGAAGGTTTCGAACGCTGCTCTAAATCCTACACACTGGATCTTTAAGGTTGTCCTTAAGATTGAAAAGCACGGTACCTCATGTTATACAGAGCATTTCACAGTAGATATTTAGACATGATTGTCAATGATTAATTAGATGATAAGAGACATTATTTTTGACAATGTGTAGAGTATTAATATTTTCTTTGTTTCCTTAAAGGGGAATTACACCTATTTCCAAAATTCATATGTTTTTCATATGGTCTGAGACAGTCCAAAAATATACATATATATATATATATATATTTGTCATCAGGAGGTGGAGGGGATGGTGGATGGCGTGTCACCTCAGCAAGACGACTGTCACTGCAGCTGCTGCGAGCTGCAGACAACTGTTAGTGTAAACGACCTTTGCCATGCCGTATAATTTCCTTTTAGTGTGTTAGTTATATTGTAAGGGCATGCTCTTATTTTGAAAGGGAAACGCCAGGATGTTGGTGTGTAAAGGCAGGTGCTCCTGTTCTGAAAGAGTTTGATGCACCAAACAAATGTTGTGAACAGCGTAAATGCATCTTTACAATGAGAGTAAAGGTTTAACACGTGGCTGATAAGGGCTCAAGGTTTGTCTACATTTTATTTTGATATTGTGTTTAATATTGTGTTGTTTTATAATTATATTTTATAGATTTCTCTGAGTTTTAATGAGCATGTGTGCGCTAGAAAAATGCTACATTATTGTTTACCCAGTCTGCCTGAAGTTTGTTATGCTAAGGAAGAAATGTAATATTTTGTTTTGTTTCATTCTAGCTCTTATGGTGCGTTCATGGGATGTTTGGAGATACACTATTGAAAATAAAGCTTTGTGAACCATCAGTTAGAGTCAGACCGTTAATCAGCCGGAGAAGCTCCAGTTAGAGAAAACTGGTTCTTTATTGGCGACCCTTTAAGGCATTGCCACCAGTGTTTGTGGCATCAAACCTGGGTGTATTTAGCCAGCACAAAGCAGTGTTTCAAAGCAACATCTGAGCCACCGAACCACTGGCTGTTTTTCCACCACCCTGAACCTGCTTTTCCAGCAGCTGAGTTGCCAAAACATGATAATTCTCTAACCATAACCAGGTGTTTTTGTGCAAATGTAAAATATCCTTGGTTTGCAGAAATGTACAATGCAAACATTTTTTTCTGCCAAGTGATGTGCACAAATATTGATTGAACTTTTGGATGGTGTTTCCTTTTTAAGATGTTTAATGCACCAGCTAATGTGATCCCTGTCATTCCCCAATGGTGTCCTCCGTAAAGATCACTTTAGACCAAAACATATCATTACATAAAAAACAACATATAAGAAAATGTGCAGGAGATTTTTTTAGTTTGTTTGTTAAAGCATATTGGAGCTTTTAAAGCTCTTTAAAACCAAACACAGACAGATGTTGCACCTGAGCTGCGACTGATACAACCGTGTCAAACCTTCCTCAGCCTGGTGCCCTTCACAGGTCCCCACTGACTGTCTGGTATTTGTTCTATCTCTTTCCAGATGAGCGTGACAGGGTGTGTTAAATCTAGTAAATTCCAAACAGCCAGTTGGGAGGGTCTTGGCATTTTTTGTCCTTAGCGCTAAATGCTGCTCAGCTCAGCAGGCCGGGGATCAGACAACAGCCTGTTGCTCTGCAGTGTGTTGAGTAAAGTGTTGATCGATACTGGCTGCATTTCAGAACAGTGGCAGATTTAAGTTGAGATTTGACAGTTACAGTTCAGCTGTTATTATAAATTACAGTTTGTCTTTTTGTCTCAGTCAGGCTCAGACACTTTATCTCAGTTAAAGACAAAACAATATCTTAACATTATTGTAAACTCCGTCTTCTGTTATTTAGTTTATACATTGGAATTTGTCATATCGAAACAACTACTCTGCTGCATTTTATTGATGTTTGCTCTCCCTCCCTTTTATTAAAATCAGCCAAACACACTAAAGTTCAAGGAGCCGTATTGGCAAAAGGTTGGGCACAACTTGCCAAAGTTGGCATATGAAGAAAGAAAAACCTCAGTCGAAAGGTTTTAGTGGTGAAAATGGTCCAAAACATCACCAAGTCTCCAAGCCAACTGTTTAATATACAAGAATTGAGAGACGCAGGAAGTGTCTGCATACTGGAGTTTTACCTCCACTCAGTTTGTTTAGCTAAAACTAGACTGCCCTGCAATGAATCCAACTTTTAAAAGAGTTTTTGTTGAAGCAGTTTTATAAAGATGTTGATTGAACTTTGGAGGCTGTATTTTGTTGTGTTGTTGAATTGCATTGAGGTGTTTCTCATATTTCCCCGACCGTACTTAGAGCATGAGGGTGATTCATCATCACTAATTCACTTCAATAAAGAAACCTCTGTCTAACACATTTTAACTCCGACCTCATCACATATTGACGTTTGATCATGGACTTTCCAGACGTCCAGATATGTTGGTTGTTGACGTTCTGGGACGCCGTGTCAACTTCAGCCGTTACATGCATTGTCTGTTGTCAAAATACACTTCTGTTTTTACAAAAAAATATGTTTACATAAAGTCTCTTTCAAAATAAATGCACTATGTCAGTACAACAACAGATAATTACTTTTTTTCCTTCAACAACTAGCGCACATGGTTGGGTTTAGGAAAAAAGAACAGGCTTTATAATTTTACATGATGTGAACACCACTCTCCTGGGTAAAAGCCGGAGTTTGTTGG